TGGTGATGAAGAGTAATTATGTTTAATAGTAATAATCTCTTGTGCTTAGTCTTGAGTTGCTCGTTTAAGATTTTGTTTGTTTACTATTGAAATGTCAGTTGTTCAAAAAAAAAATTGTTTGTCGTTTGTTATTTTATTTGTAGTTCATATGTTTTTTGTCAGTAATTTATTATAATATGTTGATAATTAAGTTGATTCTTGCCTTCTAGACTTTCTTCGTTTTCATGATTAACAATTTTGTTTGTGGGTTTTTCTTTTCACATTCGATGAAAAAAAGACTTTGGTCTTAAGTCATCATTTGAGAAAAGGTAGTAATGATGTATTATTTAAATTTACTTCCTACATAATGTTTGATCCCTATTTTTATTTAATTTTACTTGTAGTTAAATTTACAATTTACACCAGTGGCGAACCTTAGTGGTGTCCGGGGGTCCCGGGCCACTGCTCCGATTTCGGCACGTAGTGTAAATTTTTTTTTTTATGTTTTTTCTATTAGGTGTACCGGCTTAAAATATGAGTGCCACTACTAATTTAGATTTTTTTGGAAAAAAAAAATTTAGTGTCACCCCTACTAAAACCTTCTGCGTCCGCCACTGATTTACACATTCAATGTTTTGTTGAGTACTAGTCAAATTATAATTATCACCTTTTTGCAGGTTTTTGTTTTGGCACCCATTTTTATTTTGAAATTATATTTATATTTGATTGAATTTTTTACTATTAATTTAAAATATTGATGTTAGTTGTTTTGACAGCCACTTGCAAGATTTCAAGGTAAAACGTAGGATGTTGAGACTATGAAAAAGGAAATAAAGATTTGTATATGAAAAAGATGTGAATGTGTTTGTTAATTTTGTAGGATGCTATGAGAAAATATTCGAATTTAGTCAATGGTTGTCGATCGGAGAAAGTGGAAACGAAAAGAGTTTTAGACAACGTATTCTTCAAGCATTATTCAAGAATGCTTGAATTCTTTAAGAATTCTTCACATGTATAAAAAATTTGTTATGTTACATACATTTAAATATTTTTTTTTCTTCAATTCTTCAAACTTGAAGACATTGTTAATGGATATCGATCGGAAAAAGTGGAAACAGGAAGAGTTTTAGACATTGTATTCTTCAAGAATGTTTGAATTCTCAAAGAATTCTTCAATTATAACAAATTAATCGTGTTACAAACTTGCAATCAACAAAATCAAACCAAAAGAATAAAGTATTTCTTAAAGAATTTCTAATATGTTGTATTATATCGTATTCTTAAAGAATACAAACACAATAATCAGCACAATCAAACCAAAAAAAATGAAGGAATTTTTAAAGAATTTCTAGTATGTAAAAATCTCAAATTCTTAAAGAATGCACCAATAATAACCAACTTTAAAAAAATCTTCATACGGTTTTACTAATAATATGAAAGATATGAATTTAAAATGTAAGAAATGTAATTTTATTTTTCAAAATATAGTTTAAATTCCATCCATTATAATCCTCACTTTCCATAACTATTGTTAATAAATTTGAGTAATTAACTCTTTCAATTAATTATATGCACTTATATGATACATGTTATCTCATCTTAATAATATGTACCTTAAGATCACAACCTTTTATTCTTTTAATCTAATGGATCAAAATTGGTTATACATTCACACTATATATATATATATATATATATATATATATATATATATATATATATATATATATATATGGGAAAAGTGAATATACCCTTAATGGTATATAAGCTTAAATACTCAAACTCACCATACTACGTCGTTTTGTATCATATATATACATTGTAATTGTCCAATGTTCTTATAATTCAAGTTCTAACTTGATTTACTTCCAAGATTTTTATAAATTTCACATTTATCTTCCTCTTACATAATTTTCATTTTCAACTATAATATATATAGTCTAATAGGTGTTCGGCAAAAAGATGTGATGTAAGAGGAAGATAATAGTGAAATTTCGAAAATTTTGAAAGTAAATCAAGTCAGGGGTTGAAGTTTAAGAACATTATAATGAATATATCAAACAAAACGACGTATTATGGTGGGTTTGGATACTTAAGCTTATATACCTTTAAGGGTATATTCACTTTTCCCTAGGGTATATTATGGTGGGTTTGGATACTTAAGCTTATATACCTTTAAGGATATATTATGATGGGTTTGAATACTTAAGCTTATATACCTTTAAGGGTATATATATATATATATATATATATATATATATATATATATATATATATATATATATGTTCTTGTAAATAAGTATTTAGTTAAATAACACAGCTTATGATATTTAAGTCCTAATTATGTTTGGTACTAAATAACTATTTTTGTACTATTTTTTATTTTTTTGGAATTCCAAATATTTATCCTATATTCATCGATCCATCTCTCTTTATCTTGAATATATGATTCAAGGTTGTGAAAGTCATGAAGAAGTGACTATTGAAAATAATTATTTTATGATAAAGCACTAGAAAATGGATATTATATTGGGAAATTAAGTAATCTAAGTTTTTTTAAAAGAAAATAATTATTTTTTTATTTTTTTTGAAAAATAGCCATTTTTCCCGATGCTTCGTATTGGACTACTATTTATATTCCGGATTACTTTTCAATTTTTTTTCAAAGAATGCTCTATTCCGAATGCTCCATTAGAGATTTGATTTTCAAATCCGTAGTTATTTTTTGGTTTTTTTCCAACCTTTTTTTGAAAGAAATATTTCCACTTTATGTCTGAAATTTCCATTTTTGAGTGTTTAATATAACCGTTTTTCAATAAAATGTATGATTTTATTCATTAATATCATATATAGTTCACATTTAATATGTTTGTTTAATTTTTTGTTATATTTAAGTAAAAGACTAATTTTTTCTAGAAATTTCAGAATTGTTTATCAGATTCCGGACTTGTTCTTGAAACTTTAGAGTTTTTTTTTTCGAAATCTGAAATTTTAGTCCGGAATCTGAAATGACAGTCCAAAATGTACTTTTTTATTTGAAAAAAGTATTTTTTTTCTTGTTTCAGAAACTTCATTCCAAACCAAGTGGTTATTGTTGCTAAAAACAAATTATTTGGGAAATCTTTTCAAATAAACATTAAATTGTGGTTAGATTACTTAATTTCTCTATTTTATTTCTATTTTTGGAGCATGGAAGCGACATGGATCAGTCTCGTTTGACCTAAATGGTTGCTTCTGATGTTAGGGTTTGGTGGATGGTACTCAATCATGCCCCATAATATACATTATAAAATCTACCTGAGCTTCTAATTGAAGTTGATTTTGTATAAAATCACACATCTGAAAACCTAGAGAGTAGAATCCTACAATGGTGGACGAAGTGGAGCAGTTTTGGCCAAAAACCATGGGCGGTACCGGTGGTACCGTCGGTGTAATGAATCCAACTCGGGAGGTATTGCGACAATGAAGAATCATGGGTTACTTTAATGTTGGATTTTTTCTCACTCCTCATTTTGACAATTGGAAAGAGTAATATTCCAAAAAATATTTTTTTTTAAATCTTTACCAGTATGAATAAAAATCTATACATTTTCAAAAACCACATCTTCTCTAAAATTTCATTCCATCTTTTTTTTTCAATTCCATTCCTTTTCTCTCCAATTTAGTTCCCATTTTATCCGATCTCATTCTAAATGGATTCTCGTGGCAAATCCAAAAAAAGTTGTTCTAGCCAAAAGAAGCAACCAACGAAACAAAACCGCTCCTCAAGATTTGCCATTTTCCGTTCCGAAAACCCCAAATCCAAACTATCCACAATAACAACACTATCAAAAACAATATAACCTACTCATGATGCAACAATCCTACAACCAATTTTGTCTTCTGCCAGATAATACCAATTATAATCTGTATATGCAGTTTTCTCAATCGGTTTCGGAAACCCAATACTAATATTCTCCTCCCTATGTCTCGCAATTTTGTGAAACACAAAACCTAGAATCCAAAGAATTTAACGATGAACTCGCTCCCGTCTAAAACAAACAAACAAGCAACAAACTTGAAACCTGTCGATGAGATCACACGAGATTATACGAAGTGACAAACATCAATGAAGTGGTCCGAAAAGAAGAGGTGGTGTTGGCTAAGGTGTATATCAACGTATACGATGATAATTCAATGATAAGGAACACAATAATCAACAACAATCGAAAACATTTTGAGAGTGAGTTCTAGATCATTTTAAAGCGCAATTGGTTCAGATCGTACAAGGCGACAAATGAACTCCAAACCAAAGGATCTCCAAAAAAATGTGTGACGATTTCATTTGCATCTATAACTAAAATTTGAACAGTCTGGCTAGCGGAAGATCTGAGGTCGATGTTATAAAATCGACACAAAGCAAGTATCGACGACTTTATAAAATGAAAGTTTTTCCTCAAGAGTCGGCTTGGGATATTCTGAAACTCCACGCGGAATGATTGTGTGTAAAAAAAGTCAATGAAGATTCCCCGCCTCCATCTAAATGAACAAAAACATCATATTCCAATGCTTACACAACCTCTTCGGATGCATAATTTTCACCCGGATTCGGCCAAGACCCGAAAGCGATTCATGTTGATGAGACGCCGCCTTGGAGACAACAGAAAGGGAATAAACTGACGTCGACATCCTCACAAAGTATATCTCATGAACAAACGTGTTGATATCCACACTATAAGCAAAACAGAGACAGGAGGAAGATCAACGCAAAGGTTCTTGGATGTGTTGGAGAGACACACTTGTGTTGATCTAACATGGGTTTCTTCTCCTCTTGTTGGTCTAAGTAGTGATGATTTTACGATGGGGCTAGTAGCTTTAAAATCTACCTCGCATAAAGTTAACATGAGTTTATACTATTCGTGTTTAATACATTTTGTTTCCTTGCACCACCAGAGGCCATGGAAGTAAGAAATAATATTTTAGAGAATGAAGTAACGAAAATAATAACTCATTTTAATAAACCAAGATAGCGTGATTCATAATAATAACAGCATACACAAGATTTACCCAAAAAAGAAGCCCCAAGTAACCATATAAATTTTTAGCATAACCTCTTAAAACAGAAACGTGTAAAACTAAAAACTAGACTAATACATCTGCTTGTAGAAGAGCACATAAGCTTGATCATGAAGCACTTTGTTTGTAGAAATAGCAACAACCGAAGCATCATCATATCTCAACCACTTCCCACTTGTTTCATGCAATACATCAGCACTGTAATGACCCTTCGATGGCTCTCTTCCATGATGAGTTATCGTTGCCACTAGCTCATATCTTCGACCCTGTTTATTTTTTTATAAATTAATAAAAAACCATGAAAACGATATATATATTTTATATAAATATTAAATACATACCTCTGGTGATGATAAAACAAGGAGATCACGATTGAGAGTAACGTGGAGAGGAAACTGGATTGGTTTGAGTAATTTTGTGCTTCCTTGACTTCCATAGCTAAACCTCATTAAGTGTAGTATTATTATCTCTGGAAGCTCTAGTATTTTCACTGATTTACTTGCACTTACTAATTCTGCCTGATAATCATATATAAAAAATAATATTATTGAAATTTACAATCTTGAAAACATAATAATAATTAAAAAAAAAGTACCTTTCCTGCTGATGAAGCACGATACCCTTCAAGTGTCTCTGGAGCTGAAAAAAGATGAAGTGCATCTTCTATTGTATGCACAGGATCTGGACATATATTCAAATGGAGCAAAAGAAATGGCTGAATAGTTGCAGATGCTTTGTTACCTATTTTTTTTTTGTTTACATTCAAAATATATAAATGATGAATTAATGATCATGTTATTAAGATGAGTGAAAAATGTTAAAAGATTAAAATAAATACCTCTTGCTTTCACAACACTTTTTAGTTGGCCTCCGAAAATCTCACTTAATTTTGAAGGAATAAAACTTTGTGTTCTTGTGATTGCAGTTTTGTTCTTTGGTCCAACTGTTTCCCAACTATCATCATCATCTTCATCACTTACAGATGAAACCAATGAAACTTTTCCACCATTAAAATTACAACCTTCTCCTTCAAGTTTAAGAAGTTCATCATGCATTTGATGCATCACAAAACTTAAAAACTCCTGAGCATCTTCTTGCCTTTTTAAAAAACAAACTTCAACTCAGCATCCAAGATTCCAAAGACAACATATATAAATTTTATAACATCAACACAAACCTTGGTCTTCCAGAGAAGCTGTTTGGCATATCTGGAGAGAAATTGTTCAAAACAGATTCAAACATAACAGGTCGAAAAGGTTTCCCAGTTTCTACAAGAATATTGTCTTTCTTCTTTGAGTGAATGTCAGAAGGCATGTCAAATCCAGAAATAAACTCAACGAATGCATGTAAAGTTGGGTAACCAATCTAAAAATAAGGTAAAAACACAAAAGTTAATAATGTATCACAAAAACAAAAGATAATTATTACAGTTTACCTCAGGTATATTGCGTGATCTTAGCTCTTGTAAGAGATGTACAAAGGGAGAACAAGCAAGAAGAGCTTGAAGAGTTGCATTTAGAAAGCACAAATTTCCAGAGTTGACTAAGCCTCGAGGGAGTAGCTGTGTTGCAGCTTTATGGAGACCATTTGATGCAGTGATAAGGTTATTTTTGGGATTTATCAAGTTCAGAGCTTCAAAGGACTCCACATAAGCTTTTTTTCCAATGCTTTCAGGTACAAATGATACAGGTAGTTGTACATTTTTTGCTTCCTGTTCTTGTACACCATTGCTATAGGAAAGAGAGCTTAAATCATGGATGTTTCCATTTTTATTTACAACTGCAACAGGGGTTTGTGATGATGATGATGATGATGATGATGATGATGATGATGCATGAACAATTTCTTCATTGTTACTTTTCTTTACTGGATTTGATGGTTGGTGGTTTTTGGGAATTTCTGTAACATTTGGTTTGTTGTTGAAGATGCCCACAGATCTTAGAGTTGCAGAGTCCAAAGAACCAAACATAAATTCTACATCATTCTGTTTTGAGGTACTTTGCAGGGATTTGATCTCATCCTCTGTAAATGATCCAAACACGAACACCTGAAAGTTTGTAACAAGATATATGTTTTATTGATAATAAGGGCAAACAACACAATTGATATGGATTCTCAAAAGTATATGAAACTTACTAGGTTCTACAATCATCAAAGTGTAACCTTTTTAACTTTTCCCAACCTAAGAATCTAGAGATATATAGACTAATATACTATCTTTTAAGAATGCAAATAACTTAATGTGAAATTTTACTTCTGTGTATGGGCTAGATGAAGTGACACTCTACAATCGTACAAACTAAACCTAAAATAAAAGCCCTAACAGTTCCATCATCAACAGAAGCAATAACTACCAGTGATACTACATAAAATACAGCTCATCGCATACAAAATCGAAAATACATATAGTATAGATACAGAAAGAAGAGAAGGAACTTACGTTGTGGTCAGTCATCTCGAGGAGATAAGAAGGGACGAAAGCTCAATGAGAAGCTGGAGAAGTGGTGACCATGATGTGAAAGTGAAACAGAAGACTGCCGTTTTTGGGAGGAACTACTGGCACTACGAGCACGAAGATGATGGAGCAGAACAGCAATGGAAGACATATGAATGTAAGGGCAAATATAAATAAATTTCTGCGCAATGGGATTATTGTAATTATATGTGTGTATGTATATGCGAGATGAAGATGATGATGATGGAGAATTAGGGTTTTTGTCTCTACCTGAAATTTTGGCGTTCAACGATTGGAAAGTGAAAAGGGGGGCAAACTTTGCTTTGGGTGGGCGAAGGGGATATTGGTGTTTAAGGGTTAAATCGTGGAGACCGGAGACTATTATTTGTTTTTTATTTTATTTTCTTTTATTTAAATAAATACTTTAGTCAATTTTATTTAAAAAAATATATCGATATCTATATGTTATATATTCAGATCTATATACATTGATATTTATATATATTAGAAAAGTAATAATAATAATATATTCCAAATTTAAGCCTTGTCAAAATTTTGAGGCACTTAACTTATGATTTTTCCAAATATTTTTAAGATGACATAGTTTGTGGATAGAACCTATGATCCATAAGTCAAAACCGGCATAGTGTGGAAGTCACGAGCCATGTTATTCAAAAAGAAGAAGCCTTAGCGTACTAAAGATAGCACAACTAGTCTATAGAATATGTGACATATTTTGTAAGTCAAAGAATTAAAACAATGCATAGGAAATTACAGCGTCATCATATGAAATAAGAGGACATATGAATAACGTACGAAGAGAAGACAACAAGAGTGTTGATCAATGTTTTAAAACCCGGGTTTTTAGTTGACCCGGTGTGATGACCGGTTCACGGTTTATGGCCTTTTTCTATTTTCATATATTTTTGTTTTCCTACATACTACATAGACATATAATACCAATAATTTGATGTCAACAAAGTTTAATCTAAACACAACAAACAACCACATAGAATATTAATCAATAAACATATATCAATTGGATCCTAATTACATAATCTACACAATCAAAACCTTGAAACAATGATCAATTTACAATAAATGAACTGTAAACTAACCAAATATGTCACAATCAAAACCTTGAAACAATGATCAATTAACAATAAATGAACTGTAAACTAACCAAATCTATCACCTGTTGCAAAAGAAAACATGTTTCATAAGAAAAGCTAATCAGAAACCATAGAAGAAAATAACCTGATTTCAAAGTCAATTGGAGAAGAAAAGAAAACAAATCTATCACCTGATTTCACAGTCAATTGATTTCACAGTCAAAAGAAAACTGATTTCATAACAACAGCTAATCAAAATTGGATGATTGGACGCAAGTTGTAAGTGAATTAGTAATAGAGGGGGAATTGGGGTTTCGGTGGAGAAGGAACAGCCAACAGGAACATCAGTCGCTGTAGCAGGAAATAAAAAGAAAGGAAGTCGCTGTTTTGCAAAAAAAAAAACTCACCTGGAGAAGAACGAAAGTCGCTGGAGAAGAACGGAAGTATCTGGCTTGCTGCTGAGGTCGCTGCTTTGCAGTCGCTGCTGCTTTCTTTCTTCAGTCGTTGCTTTCGTTTCCTAGAGAAGAGAAGAACTGAGTTTGTTTTGCGGCCTGGAGCGATACTCACTTAATTATCCAAGCCCTAATAAACGGGCCAATCCGGTTTTTACCGGTTCAAAATACCCGGTTCAACCGTGGTTTAGGGTAAACTCGGCCGGTTCAATCCGGTCGGTATTTTTACAAAAATCCGGTCTCAATTGACCCGTCTTCTATCCCGGGTCACGGTCCAACCGGTTCAACCGGCCGGGTCGACCCGGGTTTTAAAACATTGGTATTGATCGTTTCCTATGAGTCAAAGTGAAAACATTCGTCTAAATGGTCTTTTTACTTTGACCATCCATTTGATGATGATAAGTTATGCTTAATTAATTATCATCCACATTTCTTCTTGTAATGATCTCCAAAATTTTGACGTAAATCTTGTGCCTTGAAACACTCCTCATATGAGTTAATCATTTTAATCAATTTAAATTAATTTTTTAGGCTAGAGGGATAGGTGTCACAAAAGGTGCACTCCATTCACTGCCACATAGGCGACACGTCACTTTTTGTCACAGAAGTGTGGCTTAATGCCACACACAAGGAGTGGTGCCACACTCCTTTAATTATTTTTATTTTTAAATAAATAAAAATTTTAGTTTTAATTAAAAACAAAAGAATTCATTAATTAAAAATAAAAACTATTACATTACTTTAAAAAAATAACATGAAATTAAAAAATATATATACTAGAAAATTAGAAAATAAAAAACTAGAAAGCTTAAACCTACAACTTTAAAAAAATAATAATAAATAATAAATAAATAAAAATAAAAAAACACATCAAGTGATTAAAAACTTGGAAAAAACTAGAAATTAAAAACGACTAGCGTAACGTTTTTTCACTTCTTCCTTCATCGCCAAAATAACTTGAAGTGCATCCCCGATCATATTCAACGTGTCCATCGCTAGCACTCTTAGTTCGTTGTCCCTTTGTTTCCGAGTCTCTCTATTCGAAGCAAGTTGCAAAATTTTATCCATTCTATCTTTTATGTCTTGCACATTCTCGCCCATTTCTTTCAAGTCATCCGATTCCGACGTTTTGCCCTTGCCTTTGCTTTTTGTTTTGTCCCTTCCCATTGCTCGGGGGGTGGTGACACTTGAACGGGCTCATCATCGTTGAGGTCGACACCAAAGAGCATCCGATGAAGTATGTTCGGATTTGGAAGTTCTTGACCGTTTTGATCCACTATCGATGTGCTCGTCGATTGTGTTTTGATTTTGCCATTTTTTGTTGCCTTTAAGTAGATTCCAAACTTCAAAAAACTTGAAAGTCTTCTTTTGCTCTTTTTGGTAAATGTTAAAAGTTTTCTCCAAAATCACATCGTCACTTTCATCGGTTTTCCATTGTCATTTCATGTTGTTATACAAATCGTTAAACAACATGACGTCTTTGTTCATCTTTCCCCATTTGGAGTAGAGTTGATGTTTAGAACGATATGGTTGTAGGTTCATTCCTTTTGGAACCTAGATCTAACGCGCATCCAAAAACGATCATGTTTTTGGTCCCCCTCCCGTATTAGCGTCCTCTGAAACGTCAATCCATGATTGTGCTAATACTACACTTCTTGAGGTTCCACATTTTAGATTCCGCCTTCTCTTTTCTTTTATTTCCTGGTTGAGAGGGTTGAGTTTATGGAACAAATTCTGGTTCGGATTCGGAAATGGGTGTTTGGTTGTGATTGTGTTTGTGGAACAAACTCTGGTTGAGAATCAAAATCAAATGGATCAAAATGTGGGTCGAATTGTGGTTGTGTTTGTGGAAGTGGTTGTGTAGGGCATTGTGGTTGTTGGATATGTTGCGGAAAATAAGGAAGCATACCCCCGTAGTGGTAGAAAGGGGGCGAATAAACCGGTTGATCAAGTGAAGGTGTTGGAGTTGTGGTTTTTCTAGTGGGTGTTTTTTGGTTGGTAAGATTTTTAGAGGATGACATTTTTGTAGGTTTTAGAAATGAAGAAGATGGTAAAAAAAATGAAGTGTTTGTGAGTTATTTTGGTTAATATGGTAATGTATTTATAGTGTTAGTAAAAATAAATAATTAAATAAATAATTTTTTTAAAATTTTAACCGTTTGCAACGGTAAAGAAAATGTGGCCAATCAAAAACGTTCGAGAAGCGCTCCCTCCCACAGCCGTAGTGCGGCCTCAGTCACACCTCTACCGCACCCAGGGGGCGATGTTCGGTCCTACGTGGCACTAGACTGCGGCCTCAGCTGCAGCCCACTCCGCTTGGTCTTAGAAACCAAAATCATAATTTTCGGAAAAATAGGTCCCAATGTTATCAAAACCGAAGTTTTAAGTAAACTTTTAAAAATATACAAGGATTCAACAATTTAAACATCAAAACATAAATTTAAAAGCAAACCACTACATCATATGTGACCTTCTAAATGTCTAAGCTCCATCTCCATCCTCTAATCATCATAAATACATGTTAAAATACGTAGTTTAGGCTTGATAAAATTAATGAGTAATATCAGGATTCAACATCCTTGAAGTTCAAGGGATCTTTGCTTCCCTTGAAAAGATGAACACTTCCAAAATACTTTAAAAACATCATAAAAATACTATAATCATAAACACGGAAAATAATGTTTATTGTTAAGAACTTCATTTTAGTATTATTGTAACATCCCAAAAATCATGACCAAAAATTTTTATTTTAAATATAATAACTATAAAACCATTTGTCTGAAAACAACCATAGTATCATTTGGTATCAAAACCAGAGTATCAATAGTCAAATCATATCATAATAAAACAATGTCAGAGTACAAATCCCAGAAATCTCATATGTGGAAAATCGTGTGTGTGATGCGCTGCTACCGTGCCGGCTCCTTTCCCTTCAAAGAGGAAGTACCTGAAACCAAAACTGAAAACTGTAAGCACAAAGCTTAGTGAGTTCCCACATCATACCACATACCATATAAACACATAATGCCTATCCTTCGGTATCTTTCAACCGGTATCTGTCTGGCATAACTGGGAGCTAGACTCCCCTTCGGTATCTTTCAACCGGTAACTACCTAGCATGGCCGGGAGTTGGACTCCCCTTCGGTATCTTTCAACCGGTAACTGCCTAGCATGGCCGAGAGCTGGACTCCCCTTTGGTATCTTTCAACCGGTAACTGCCTAGCATAACTGGGTGTTGGCCTCCCCTTCGGTATCTTTCAACCGGTAACCGGGGACTATTTCACCCCCTACCACTACCACATAGTACATACTAACACATATAGAATAACAGATAGTGGCATACCAGACAATGATCACAAAGACAATCATCTAACTCACAACTCCTACTAGTGGGCCGACATTGTGGCCTTAGACCCACTTCTACTGGAAGGTAACTCACTTCAATGTCGTGAAGTAGTTGTACTGTCCTCGGCTCTGGGATCAACTCCTCTCAAACTCCTACACATAACAATCTCCTTTGATTACTCTTTCATACTCATAATCCCCTTTAAGGGTCAACTCTGGTCAATGGTCAAGGTCAAAGTCAACATCCTGGTTGACTCAACTCGCTGAGTTGGTCTATCAACTCATCGAGTTCCATAATCCATAAAACCCTGAAATCCCGATCCTACTCATCGAGTCCTTTCATGAACTCGTCGAGTTCATCCTCAAAGCATAGTCGGGACCTTTTACCCACAACTCGCCGAGTCCCTCCTTGCACTCGCCGAGTTCCTCAGTCTTCATAACCCAAACCATGGCCAATTCGTTGAGTCATCTTCTAGACTCAACGAGTTTGCTCAATAACAGAAAAGGTTGGGGGACCACGACCCAACTCGCCGAGTTGTATGAACAACTCGTTGAGTCCCCCATAGTCTAAATCCATATAGTCGATTTTAGTCGGGCTTAATGCATCCAAAACGTAGATCTGGCTCCCTAGGGTCGATATATCACATAAAGTTTCTAACTTTACGTGCATGCATGGGTTATTTAGCTCAAAAAGCCCTAAAAAGCGATCCATATGATGCATGGGACTCCCATGGCCATAAAGTTGGCACCTTTATGTCATAGAGTCCCTCAAAGACTCTGGATTTGAAGTTATTACCCCAAAACATGCTTGCAATAATGAATGGTTCCAAAATATGCTCCTTAAAGCCCTAAACTATTCCATGAAGAGATCTAGCAAATGAATAGTCAAGGTATAGACTTTATACCTCAAATAAGCTGGAAATGAAGTTCTTCTTCTGGATCCAAAGCTCCTTCCCTCAACCAAGCACTTCTAGCTTCTACTCCTTCAAGAAAATACCAAAGAATCACTCCTTTTTCACTCACACACACTCACAAAGCTCAAGATCTAGAATTAGGGTTTTTTGGACTGAGGGAGGTGTGACAACTGGAAAATTTTAGAGCAAACAAGGTCTAAGCTTTAACCGTGTACGAGTGAATTCACAACGTAACATTTATGCAATGAGACTATGAATGCTAAGAGGCATGTTTATATAATTTATTATATACACATATACTTTGAAAACCATGTGTTAAAGAAACTTCGGAAGTTAAAACAATTAACATAAGATCACATAAGACAAAACAAGACAAAAAGGAGTCAACAAAAGTCAAATATTATACATTGTTTATAAGATTTCGGTTGTATTAAATCAAAACCCCACACCTTGACCGAAATCTCCTCTCTTGGACTCACCATGACCGAAAACACTAAGTTTAAGGCCCATTAAGGCCGAAAACTCCACACATAAGGACCAAAATCTCATTCTTTGTGACACTAGGACCGAAATCAACTTAAGGATGAGTACACTAGGTGATTTCGGTCATGCTAGGACCGAAATCACCCTGTTTTTGTCTGAAATCCTCCTTAAATCTTAGATATTTTATGCAAGTTGATTGGTTATTTACCTTCCCAAGGTGATATATTACACTTACCAATGTACGTGTCACCTCATTATCTCTTATACCCTATATAATACACATATTAGAACCATTTCTCATTCACAGTTAACATTACACTTCACAATTCTCTCAAAAGCAAACCTTCCTTTTCTCTCCAAGTTCTTCATCAAATTAATCCCAGGAAGCCTTCGAATCATCCTTATTCCTTAAGGTTATTGTAAGTTCCTTTTTATAATCTAGTGTTATTATAACACTTGCATAGTAGTTGATCTAATTTACACCTATTATTATGTGTTTAACATAATTAGGATACAATTATTTTCACGTGTTCTAACGCGAAGAACATCGCCACCCTCTTCGTTATCAAACCGCGAATACACACTCGAGGTGAGTTCATATCCCTACGTTTTCAAAAAATTTCCATGTTTTAAGGGGGGGGGGGGAATACAAGTAAAACGCAAGAAATCTTGTGTTAATGTCTAAACTATTTCAAATTATTTCAATTGTCGTTATTACCAATATATATATATATATATATATATATATATATATATATATATATATAGGAGTAGGATCAAATGAGAACACCAAAAAGGTTGAGAACGCGAGAACAAAGTATATTCATTTGCGATTCCATGTATTCATTTGTGGAGAAATGATAAATTTTTACGCCTTTAATTTCAATTGAAGAGAAAAAGCATATTCATGTTGATTGTGCGTAAAAATTTATCATTTCTCCACAAATGAATACATGGAATCACAAATGAATATACTTGTTCTCGCGTTCTCAACCTTTTAGGTGTTCTCATTTGATCATTTCCCTATATATATATATATATATATATATATATATATATATATATATATATATATATATATATAATTAAGATTCTATAGGCTTAGAATTGGTGATTTCGCATTAACTCATGTTCCTTGTTTGGTTGTGGGCTTAGGGTAGAATCATTTGTTCGACTGTCTTTTCAATCTGAATTATATATATATAAGTATAAAAATTATTTCGACACGTTAAACAAAAAGAATATTTTCGTAACTTATTTTATTACCGGTTATACATAAACGTTAAATTTCACGGAATATCTTTATCTCAGATTTACGAATAGAACATGTAATTTAAACTATAATAGGTATAATTTACG